ACCCTATCCTGTGGACACCACTAAAATGGATGTAGGGAAGCAGGGCTTTATTGTGGCACTGTGAGCTGCAGCCAAACACAGAGAGAGAGAGACTTATTGATTAATGCTGATGATTTTCAAATGGGCTATAGAGATGTGAAGGATTCCTTGTTATTTAGCCAAGAAAGGGATGCTGAAGGATGCTAGATAAGAGCTTCTTTTAACAGATGTTGTTGTTTGCTGACATAAGCAACAAGTAGACATGGCTCATGGGTTTCTGTGGCTATCTGGACAGGTTCATGAAATACTTCATGAACAAATAGAACAAATATGAAGAAATTTGCATTCTCTCTACTTCATTCTCTCCATTCAGCATGAAAGACCAAGGAAACTTGAGTATACGAAGGATAAGTTGACAGTAGGCAAGGAAACCCAAGAGCTGGTTTGACCAGTGCACTCTGAATACCCTCTGCTTTTTTCCTTGCACCAATGAGATTCCATTCCACCCACCTACTGTATATGTTTGATGGAGGTTTTTTCATATTTGATTATGAAATGGTTTGCTAGAAAAAAAGTATTGTATTTAACAGTGAAGCCAAACTATTACTTGTGAAGAAAAAAAATATCTAGCCTCCTGCCTCTTGAATTAAAAAAAATTCAAGGCATTCTGTAACATAAGAGAAATTCCCCCTTGAGGTCTGGGAACTCTTCTGGAATTTTAAACAGAATGATAACCTAACTCTACCTCTGACAAGAAAGCAAGAGAACTCTTATTGGGTGGGAGATTAACTGTTTCACTCTAACCATTCAGTTGCAAAAATAAACAATGCTATCCATTTGTTTTTCGTTAAACCCTCTCTAGCTTTTTCTCTTGGGAGAAAAAGAAACTCACAACAAATTTTCTGATGGGAAAATGCCTCCTCCTTCCTAGACTGAGGAGTCCTTGCTTCAATAAGCTGTTCCCTTTCTAAAGTTCTTACGTAAAGATAAACCACGTGGCCCAGGAAACAGTTTCAGACACTTGGTTTTCAGTGAATTTGGTGACTGTTGATATCAGTTTGTATTCCACAAAAATCAAACATACCTAAAAAGAAATTTCCCGTAAAGAATATTTTTCAACGGGTAAAATAATAAAGAAATAGAAGAATAGACTAAAGTAGATAGTAAAGAATAGTAAGAGCTTTGCAAAATATAGAGGGCCATTATGTACTTGATTTATAGTGATGCATTATCCCAACAAGACTTAGAATTTTTTTAAAAATCCAGACTTTCTGGAAATGTAGGTGGAGAGCTGAGTTCAAGATTGATCATACCAGGATTTGGCAACATGGGGCACCAGGACTCCATATGGGCTTCAAATCCCTTTTGGGGACTCTTCAAAGCTACTATTCAACTTGCTAAAAGTAACATAGTTTCTAGATACTTTGAAGTGAAAAACATTAAAACAAAATAAAGTGTACTGTAAGCCCTAAAAAAAATCTCAGTCAGGTTTAGAAACAAAAATAAAAACCCCTCCCCAAAGTCAAAGAAAATTCATTTGAAAATCCTGACTCCGCTTAACCCTGCCAGGCAAAGTGATTATGCAACCCTTGTCTTTAAAAGTTTGTCTGCCCCTATTCCTAAACCTTCCTACTTTCTATCAAAAGTAAATTAGAATATTTTTTATTATTTCAGCTTGTTCATGTTTAATGATGTCTCTCAGACTACACAATTAATTGTATATAGTATAAAAAAGGCTGAAGCTAAAAGACAGGAAGCTTTACAAAACTGAACTATTATTTGGTTATTCCTATATAAACATAGAATATTGTAGTTCTGTGATAGATATCTCTTGCATAAAAGATGCTGGTTTGTGAAAATAGAAAAAGTTCTGCAAAATAAATCTTATTCTTTCCTTAGTTTTAGGCTTATATTTTAATGGAACAGATCTTTTACTGTAATGGGTTCATTTAAAATCTCATGTGTTTACTTCACTAAATGACTGAGCCAAAATACTCTTGGTAATCTTAGTTGATAAAACTAGAAAATCTGGCAAATCCCCTTGAAATCACAAGATATGCTTTATTCTGAATTTGGTTAGCTTTTAGTTATCCTTTTTTAATTATAAAGCTTTGTTTTGTAAAATAATACCCTAATAATGACTGGAGGCAAACAAAGCTTATCTCCCTAGCCAACAGCCAAGAACTCAAGAAGATTAAAAGGCATAATGTGGATGGCCATGAATTTTAAAATATTAGTGGGAATAGACTCACCCTCTCACACCATACTAAAGCGATTTTTAAAATCCTTCTTCCTTTATCTAAATGTAAATAGTTTATATTTGGTACAACAACAGTGACTTTTTTCTTGCCAATCACTGTATAATAATCCTGATCCAACATTAATAGCTTGATAAATACACAAATGTTTTCCCTAGCAGTGTTTTAAGTTCCTGAAAACCAATGTATCAATAAATTAATTAGACTGTATTCCAATCAGGTCCAAGGCTAGTAAAGTTTATTCCTATGAGGAATACCTTGGTTTATTGGTTACAGTGGTGCAATGTGGAAGTATCAATTTCAAGTTTTGTTTCAGGGCAGAAGTAAGACAGCATGTAATAAATAATTTAATATTTGTCATGAAAACCTTACCAAAATGTACACAATAACAATTGTAGCCATGGTAGATTATTTTGTGTTTTACTGGGTACAATTTATAAAATTATAAAATATTTCAAAACTCTTTTGACAGGAGATTTTAGTGGGCCACAAAATGAATGCATACCAGAAACAATGAACATTCTGGTGTGCTTTATCATTTTTTCGTGAATGTAAAATATTACAGTTGGTATATATAGCTTTGGGAGATAAACTAGATAGATCTGTCATGCATATTGCTAATTACAAATAGCTAGAACTGAGAGAAGGTGTAGGGAATCCAGATTGAGGCAAAGGCACGAGGGAAGTGGTAGTTAAACCTTAATCTCTCTGTAGTCCATTGAATCTACTATTCACAATGGGAGCTTTTTACTTATATAGCATGAATAGGGGTATAATTAACTGTTCTAATTTCAATCTGGATTCTTGACACTGCGATGGATATTTGATTTTAAAATAAAACAAGACATTTATTTTAAATTACATCTAATTTGGCCCTTAAGAATCATTTGAAATATGCTAGAAAGACTTAAAAGTATACATTCTGTTTGTGGTTTAGTGTCCAAACATGTGGCTACCCACACTGATTTCAATGAAACAGGTTTGGTTGAGTTTTCAAAACTTTCATCTGTTCAGAGAACATGAATATCTTGTATGCATTGAATGTTTGTATTATGTTATTATTCAAAATTTCTGTGCCTTTTAATCTTCGTTTTTTTTCCTTGACCTTGATAATTCCATATTTATTCCAGGTTGATCTAGTTCCTAGAGATCCTGGAGACCATCGGCACTAATTTTAACATTTACCTCTAAATTTATAGGCAGAATATTGAATGATGTATCTTCTACTGATGCTTTCTTCCATTCCCAACGCACTCAGTTCTTTTTAATGAGATAACAAATAGAAAATTAATCCTCCATAATTAAAATGCTGAATCCAAACTGTCCCATTTTTCAAAGTTTTGCCTGGAAATTTTCCTTATGTATGTTTCAAAAATGCATTTTACTTCTTTCTAATTTCACCCTCTCTTTTACTTTCTCCCCAGAAAACTCTCTTAACAGTTCCTCCAACTGTTGAGGAGTAAAAATCAGAAAGATTTTTATTTTTTATTTTATCCAGGGAGGTTTAGTTAGATTGTAATCTAACTACCCAATCTTGATTCAGAGTCTAGCCTAGCTGTGAATTCTAACTATTTTCCTCTTAACATTTCTAAACCTGGTTTTTCGCCAATATTGGAACTAATTGGTTTTCCCATTTCCCCCCCCCCCTTTTTTTTTTTTCTTAAAAAAAATCCTGGGAATTCAGGCTCACATTTCACCCATGACCTATAGTTTCCTGTACTAAGAACAACATCTCCTGTGCATTTGTGCTTGGTTTTTTTGAAAATTGATCACAGCTGGAGAAAACAGGAAAATCAGATTAGCACAAAATAGTAAACACCCAGAAACCAGCATATGCACTATTTAATAGGATAAGAGAAAAGTGGAAAGATGATTGTAGAATATAAATATGTGAAAAAGAATTTTTGCAAGTCTTGCAAAAATGTCTGAAATACTTAGAAATTTACCCAAGTTCTTAATTTAAAAACAGAGTAAACTCCACCTCATGATTTCTATCATATCAATCTTGTTTAAATCCTATCTTACACCAATTCATTTTTAATATTAAAGTGGATCTAATGGTACAGTAATGAATAAATTAAATATATACGATAGTATATGGATGAAAGATGACAGCTGTTATTGTCTATATAAAAGGAGAAACTTGAATTCAGTAGGCCTTAAAGTCATGTTAACTATTGGTAAAGATCCACTTCTTCATAATCAAGGAAGTTCTTTTCTATCCAATCCTTCTCTGTCTCCAGGATATTCCAAAGACAGCTGATTTATGTCACTTATTGTTTAATTGACTTTGAGCACAATGCAACCAATGGCCATTATGAGGTTATTATCCTCAGAATATAAAGAATGCTCTGTTTTAGGCTCTAGACAACCTTTTAGAATACAGCTGTGGGAACAATTTGTTTCCTGCTAGTGCTACTCTCTAATGAGCTGCCCACAAATCAGTGACATAGCACATAAAAAGACCAAAAGAAAATACAAAATAGTAAAGGAAGGACTCCTTCACATTAGTCAGAATTAATCTAGCACAATTTGCATACACACAGGTAGCCCTTACAAGAACATTTGATCCCTTTGCTTTCAATGGGATTACATGTTTGAGTAGTGCCAACTTGTGTGCTTATATGGAAACACCTGCTCCTAGCTGCTCTTCTACAGCCCCTAGCATTATCAGGGCAGTGATTCTAATGCCAATTCTGAACTGTTTCTGTCTGTCTAACATTCCTTTTTAATCCCCATCCTGCCTGCCCCTCCCTTATGTAGGGTTACTTTAGTGATCCTTGGAATATTTTTGACTTCCTCATCGTAATTGGCAGCATTATAGACGTCATTCTCAGTGAAACTAATGTGAGTATAACTCTACCCTCCTTAGGATGCCACCAAATCCTCCTTCTCTTCTTTACTTGTTATCTTCTCTTTTTTTCTGGTTTTTGTTTTCTTGCCTCTAGTCATGCTTTTATTGATCTTGCCATCGTCCTTCTCTCAGGGGGGGAAAAAAGGAGGAGGATTGAAGACCTCCTTTCTTTTCACTGGTCACAAATGTGGCTGGTGAAAGCACACGGAGACTGGGGTATGTGTGCTTTTTTCCCTCCCAAAAGATGAAACAAAACAAAACCAGACATATTTGAGTGTAACTTTCTAACTAACCAAGGCTTTTTATTGATACCCTCCATCATGTTACAGAGGTATGAGCAACCAGTACTGTAGAGTGGTAAGAGAGTTTTTAACTATGCCCACATAACCTCTTTCTTTCCTTATTTTTTTCTCTTCTCTCCCTCTTTCATGCTTTGTTTGTTTGTTTATTTATTTATTTATTTTTGTTTTTCTTTGGGGTTTTTTATACCCTTCTTCCTTCTCTCTCCTGTTTGTTTTCTTCTTTCTCTTCTTTTTTCTTTCTTTCTTTTTTTTTTCTTTTTCTTGTTTTCCTTTTTGGTTTCCCTGACACATGCAGCACTATTTCTGTGATGCATGGAATACATTTGACGCCTTGATTGTTGTGGGTAGCATTGTTGATATAGCAATCACCGAGGTGACCGTAAGTAACTGGCGTCTGTCCATGAATGTGCCTGCTCTTAATATTCATTTGTCTTTTCTGGGTTTTTTAATCTCTTTTTTTTACTCTCTTCCCTTCTTTCTCCCTCCCTTTTTATTTAAAGATTTTTTTTTTAAGGATTGCTTATTTTCTTTTGTTTTGTTTATGCTTGTTTCTTTATGTTTTAGAACAACTTTGAAATTTTTTCTGACTGTTGCATCATTTTCTTTCCCTCATCATCAGCCTGGCATGAATAAAAACTGTATAGTAGAAGAAGAAAAAAAATCTATGAAAAGTTTGTGGAGTGAATGTACAATAAGCAAGTTTCTGTCCTGAGAAGTTGTAGAAATAGCCAAGACTGATTTTCCAAAACTTTATGTTAAATTTCCTAGGGCAATGAACTACTTGCCACTTCACAAAGAATTATAGGGCAACTCTTTCGAGGTGGAATAGTCGGAACCAGATATGGAAAAAACAATTGCAAAGATTTTTATTTTTCCAAGTTCTTTTCTTTAACCTTGAATCCACAAGACTTAACAACTAAGCTAACATTCTGTAATAACATGTTACAACACTAAATGAAATTATATTATTTGTCTCTCAATTATGTATGGGAAAAAACTGCATGAGAGGAGGAATTACTCTAATTTTTTTTAAAAAAAACCATTAGTACCAGCTAAATTCTGGCTCAGAGAATATTTTGGCACTACAAACGTTATCTGTGTTATTTGTTCACTACTGTATTTGACATTGTTTCAGTGTGGGTATCTAGAGATTTTGACCAGCTGCAGCTATAGTGATGAAAAGAAATATCATTCATTATCATAAGCTAGGGGGATTATGTTTGGCAAAATTCATTATTGAATTATAACACCATCCCAATATTATTTACAATAAGTAGCAATTTATAAATACTAGTTAAATAACTAGTATTTAACAATACTACTATTGAAACAAAAAAAATAATGGCCTCAATGTATACACCAATAATCTTAACTAGGATGAAGTCCCACTAAAATAAAGCTGCCTTTTAAGAATTTCTTAAAAACATGAGGTGGGTTTATGGATCTCTAGGAGTGTTGAGTATATTTTCTAAATATTAGTACAGTACACTAATACATTTAATTAAGTTTAGTTAAATATGGAACAGAGATTGATTGGTTAAGTTAAACAGTTATTTATAGAACAGAAAAGTTGACTAGGGCTGTTTTTCTTTCCAGTACCAAGTAGCGTTGAAGTGCAGATGACATTAATATTGGTTCCACTTCACCTCTAAAGAATACCCTTCTCTACTATACAGGCCCTAAAATTTTTGCATATGTCTTTTTATTACCTAGCATGTTTGAAGTTTCTCTTTTAATCTTTGCTTTAATTCTAACATTTCTTATGAAGCTATTCATTTTGAATTTCTTCTAACTTTTTGCATATCTGATGCACTGATAATTTGCAATCAATTAAAGATGGAGTTTGTTCTGAAATGTTTGAAGTCATATTGCACATATTCCTATAGAATAAGAAACTGGATGGCCCTTTATATCAATTTGTACCTTCAAAAATAATCCTACTCTGTGGCAGTCCACCCAGCCACCCAACATATAGGCATTGTTTTTTGCAGAACAAATTGAAAAATTTCCCTTTTCCCTTACCAATTGCATCATTCCTTTGTCATTTTGCTTTGCTCATGGTTTGTGAGCCTGAAAAAAATTGTCTTGCGTGCCTGTATGCTGGCTTGCTCTGCACAAACTGGAATGGTGGGTGGAGGGAAGAAGAAAAGGAACATTTCTGAATAGACTACACAATATTAGTTTTTTACTTGATTCCAAAATCAGATAGCATATGATAGCCTACAGCCTGTACTAACTAAATAAATTAGTCTGTAACAGATATCTAAAAATTGTTGCAAAAGTAACAGGTTTGTATAAAATGAGCCTTTCTTGGCATTGATTACTTTGTCATGAAAGGTGATGGATGCATTAGATAGGAACACTGTGAAGTCTCATCTGCACGGACTTTGCCGTGCAGAGACAATCTGACTGGAAGCCATTTAATCACCAGAAAAGCAGAAGGCAAGGGTAAAAAAGTCAGATGTACATAATCAGTGGGTGGGTATGCGTGAGCACAAGTGTGTATATATGTATATGTGCACGCGTGTGAATGCATTCAAGTGTTTTTCAGTTGAAACTAAATTTCGTTATAGTGGAAGGTAATATTTCTTAAAACTTTTTAACAATTTTGGAAAACATGCATCTTCAATATTTTATCTTTAAAAAATAGGAAATAAATAAATATGTGTTAATAAATATGTGTTATTCTTTTTAAAAATTCCCTTACATTTTATACATCAATTACAAATCTTAATGGGATATATGAATTTATATATCACAATATATTACCTCAAGTGATAGAGCAAAAAAAGTCTTTAAAATAGTGTAACCTTCAGCCTATCTCAATATTTGGTTTTCAAATATTTAAGTACTGAAAATGATCTTTCAAATATATATTGAAGGAGGACTCAGCTGGATTAAGATTTGTGCAGGAGGGAAGAAAGAGGTGGATAACATCTGAACCGGGACAACTGGGCAATACAACTAAACAAAAGTACCCCGGGATTAAGGTAACATGAAATTTTTAAGAAAAGAAAAGAAAAGTGAGCAGCAAAATTACAAAGGGACAAGGAAAAAAAAAAACCAGGAAAGGAAGAAGCTGGAACTAAAGATTTAACTAAATTGGATTAAAATATTTTGGGAATAAACAGGCATAAAATAAAGCTGGACTTAAGATTGTCAAACAATAATAATAATAAAGTTTACAAATTGGAGACTGGACTGTGCTGGAATATTGAGGTTCGAAAAACTCTAAATAAAAAAATAGGGAAAAAAGGTGAAGACTTTGTATAATGGAGAGTGCCACCTTTTGACAAAAACTTGAGCTCAAACAAAAGGGAAAGCATCCTGTTTCTGAATGAACTTATGTGGATATAATATTAAAGAAATACTGAAACAAAGAAAGCTTATATTCTTAATAACATTTTAAAGTTATTAGTCTTTTTTTCCCAAACAGTTACAGTGTGATGACTAAGAAGAAATCTGCCAATTTTTCTTCTTTATTCATAAGAGAGAACTTTTATGGCTAGTGAAACTGAATGGATCCAAACTCCATAAAATACATTTTGGATTTGGAGTTATTCAGGAAACACTGATGTTCCATCTAATGCATTTTAAGAAATATTGAAAGATCATAAAATCACAGCAAATTTGAGTAAGCTAAAAGCAGAGCTTTGAGGAGGAATATAAAAAGGGTTTATTTATGACTATTTGAAAACTATCCTGAAATAGTAGAAAGCATGTTCAGAAAAAAAGGAATAAACCTACAGTTAGTTTTCAATTCATCATAAAGCTTACATTATTAATCTCATCTCAAATTCATTTATTGAATCTTATATGGAGATCTAGCCATAGCCATTTCTTATTTTTGCCATATGTGCAGAACTATACCCAATTCTCAGTATAAAAATATGAAAATGAAGAAAGAAATCCAGCTTTCCATCTGCTCCTGATTCCAGTCTGCATACAACTTTCTGATTTTCCAAACAGCTTCAAAAATGTAAAACAAAAATGAACAAAACATGTAAAGATAAGTCCTTCTACTTTTCAGAACCTTCAATATGAAATCTAAACTAAAATATATCACTACAGTTATAAGTCCTTTGAAACACTACAGTTCAAAAATACAACAGTTATAAAAACTGGTGACAAGGAATTACTGTACATTACTGGCAGTTTGCTACCAAGTGATTGAGCAGAAAGATTTTGCTGAGACTGCTAATTAGGAAACAAATGAACAAAACAGAATTGTCCACAGCTCAAAGTTCCCCCCCAAAAACAGATTTAAAAAAATCAAGATCTGGATGTGAGAATCTTAGGACTGCCGTGATAGAAAAATGGGAAACACATGCAATAGATAAGATTTTTTCAATACTAGAAAGTGGCTTCTAAAACAAACGTGCTCTGCTCTTCCTTAGAAATAATAAATCAATTCCTGAAAATATTCAGTTAACTTTAAAAAAAAAATCTATATAATTCAGAAATATATTTTATATACCAGCCTTCCCCAACCTGTTGCCCTCTATAATTGGACTATAATTTCTAGCTGTTATGGGATATGCAATCTGGATCATTTTTCTCCTGTATATACATCCACTGTGAAAAAATTTCCAGTGTTATAATCTCCATTTTTAGTAACTGGAAGCATTTTAGTAACTGGAAGCCCACCCCTATCCCAACACACATACCTATTGCTGGATCAGCAAGACGTGCTAATGAAGCCCTTAGTGCTCCATTCAGAGTTATATCTGGAGCAATGTTTTTTGGAAACGTTTCCAAGTGTTCTTGGAAAACATGCACTTTTGTTGCCTTCAACTGCTGCACTGCACATCTTTCTCCAGGTAAAACTATGAATTAGTATTAATTCATTAATTAATTAATGAACACAGGATCAAGATTCATTTGTGTATTTTCAATTAAAATATACACAGAAGGAATATTTTTTTAAAAAAATAGTCTTTTAGACTCGTATTTTGTGAAGTTATACCTTTCAGTATGGATTTCAATATGAATGTTAATCCTGTTTTTTTTTAAATTTGGATTAAAGTGAATACAATACAAAACAAATGTATAAACTTGCAAAACTGAAAAAAGGAACAAATATAAATTAATCAGTTTGTGGCATGCGGCTGCCTTGAATAAAAATTAAGCATTATAAATATAGCATTGGGAAAAAGAAGTCTAGAAAAGATTTGGGAAATCTCATAATTTTTCTTTATGAAACAAGAAATTTCCTAGTAATTAAAAAAACAACACTTGAAAACTGTATTTGTGATATGCTGAGATTTCAGTCTGTAGTATAATTAGACTATAGAATAGATCATGTACAGTATTGGTACATAGGAATGGTTCTGCAGATATATTTTATCGTAATTCAACAGGGCTAGAATCTAATTTTGT